GTGTAGGTTCAATGAATGTAGACGAAAAATTACACAGCCTTTCGAGGGTCGAAGAGGTCAGTTTCACGACCCAAGTTGGGCTGCTTATCGTGTGATTTAGAAAACATCGTACAGTACACAAAGATCGATAAATTATAAAAAAAAACTAGTTAACCCTTATTTTAATATGTAATACGATAAGGGGAGGTAAGATAGTAGGTTGCCCCCAACGTCAGATTGAGAGCAGTTTCCGTGGGAGACCTTCATATTATGAAATATCCTCCGTGCGACTCGATCTCACGACCTCAAGATTAAGAACTTTGTGCTCTACCAACTGAGTTGGATAGTCATTTCTAAAGGTCGATAAATTATGTTAAGGGTAAATAAATAGCCTAAACTTTTAGGACGGTTATATTTTGGTCATTTAATTTTTAAAATTTATAATACAGTCATTTAATTTTTAGTTCATTTTTAATAACTTCCGTCAAAGCCCTTTTTCTTCTTCTTTAACAGCACAAGTGGGATTGTTGTGGAAGCCAACAGTGGCAGTTAACAAGCTGTCTTCTTCTTCCTCTTCTTCAACAGCACAAGTGAGACTGTTGTGGAAGCCAACAATGGCAGTTAACAAGCTGTCTTCTTCTAATACTTCTTCCTCTTCTTTAACAACACAAGTGGAACTGTTGTGGAAGCCATGACTACCACCAACAGTGGCACTTAAAAAGCTTTCCTTACGTGCCATCACTAATTAATTAATTAATTAGTGTTGATCCGAATCACACAAGGTGTCATAACTTGGATCGTTACTTGCATTACCAAACAAGTCGTCCTTGTGTGTCATATCATCTTCTTCAAATGTCAGAGAACCCATCACTCCAACAGCATAATTGACGTTTCCATTCCATCCCTATTTTCTTTTCACTTTTCAGGACCCAACATCCTAAACTTACGTGCCATCTCTATCCCTTTCCTTCTCCTCGTTGCCCTTCTTCTTCTTTTTATCCCAAATATCTCTCTTTTCTTCCCATAAAAAAATCTCACTTGATCTTGTGATATGAGAAAAAGTCAAAAAAGAGAGAAATCAAATTCTTTAAAATACAAGAGGATCAAAAGGAAATAAAATTGCTATTTTATATTTGATCTTGTGATCAGAATGACTTGTTGCTAGCTACACAGTTTTCGTAAGATAAATTTTCGGCCACCCTTTTAGTACTCGAGATCTTTTGATCGTATGTCTACAATAACTTTCTATTATACGGAAAAAACTAACTTTTGTTCCTTTTAAACTAATTTGGGTGGAGAAGACAAAAATTTAGATGGATAAGCAAAAATCATATGGAATCAGAAATCAACAATTTATTGAAGTTTTAATCAAATGAATAAGATCACCAACACACAGGCAGCCACCAATACAGTACAAGAACAGTAAAATCACCACTATTTTACACCATAACATAATCGAATTTCAAACAAAACCCAGAATCTAGCTTTTATTAAACTTGGAAAGGCCAAGGCCAGTTCTTCAAATCCTCATCTCCAACTCTCCCATCCCTCTGTTTCAGCGATCCGCCATTGCCGACCCCATGACCTTCAACAAAGGCATAGTACCTCAACACAAAGGCCAACCCCAAAACCAACCATTCCAAGCAGAAAACCACCACGCACAGCCCACCGGCCAGTCTCAGTATCAGGACCCCATCTTCTTCCCTTACGTAGGACTTCAAGTAGCCCAAGAAATCTGGGGTTCGGGTCCATATGAGCACCGAAACAGAGCCTTCGAATATCGATGTCAGCACCATCGTGACCATGTGAGACAAGTACCATTTGTTGGACCCCGAGATCGCGACGGAACACCCCGAGACGGCGCCGCCGATGGCGATGACGTGGAGGAGGATGAAGAAGAAGCCGAACAGGGAAGGGAATAAACGGAGGGAGAGGGTGAGGAAGATGCAACTCGAGGCGGATCCCAAGAGGAGGTAATTGCTGATTAAGAAGATTTTGTGGGTTCGGCTGTGGGATTCTGTTACTGAATTCTCGACCGAGAGTCCCATTGATGACAGCTTTGAATTGGATTCGATGGATGGATGGAATATCAAAATTTCGAGCTTGAAATTTTGTTTCTGGAGAAAGATTTGAAGGTGTTCTTTAGGTTGAAGAAAGGAGAACACGTATATAAAGGTGACGAGTTTCTGCGTCAACGTTCGAATTTTTTAAAAATGGTGACCGTTGAAAAAGAAATTCAAAAACTTTATAAACGTCTAGTTTTCCCCCTTCACAACGTTCCTCAACAAAATAAACATAATTCGTATTATTTTTTCTCCCAATGTGACCCTTTAACCTAGAAAATAAATCCAACATGACCCTTTGACCAACATTTTTTCGTCATTGACCGTTACGATACTGGCATGACAGTTCACAGTGCTAATATGGCGATCCTTCAATCATGTTTGAATTATCAATTTAGTCAATCTACATATCATTGTGGATTGTTATATCAGTACTATAACGATCAACAACGAAAAACGTTATCAACCATTGTGGATTGTCACGTCAGTATCTTGGATCACCATGTTAGTACAATGAACTGTCATATCAGCACTGTAACGGTCAACGACGAAAAATGTTGGTCAAAAGACCACATTGAGTTTATTTTCTAAGTTACAGGTCCACATTAACAGAAAAAAAATATGTTGGCCCACATTGATATTTTCTTTTAAAAGTGCAGGACCTCTGATGCATTTTTTTTCTCTTTTACAATGTTTCTCAATAAAATAAACAAGGGTAAACTACGCTTTTAATACCTAAAGTTTCAATTTTATAAAATCATACCTAAAGTTTAATTTTTGTTTCATTTTAGTATCTCACATTTAAAACTTAACGTGTTTATATTATTATTTAATTAGTCTTATTCAACTAATGTCACCACCTTATTAGAAATAGAACAAAGGAAAAATATCCTTAAATGAGTCTACAAGGATAAGACATAATATTGATGTTAATTTGCTTAAATTTGTATTTAACTTATATAAACTATAACTATAAAATAAAAGAAATTTATTAGATCTATTATTTGAACTTAAGACATATCACAAAAATATTCAAATATTTAACCAATAAATAAGCTTAAAAATTGATGTAGTACATGCTAAAATTAATATTTAACTTATAAAAACATTTAATTAAAATTAAATATTTTCTCTTTTAGTTTTAAAATAAAAATAATTAAATAATTATTTTTATATTTTACAAAATTAATATTAATTTATTTTAAAAATTAAATTTATGATATTTATCATAATAGAATACAAATTTTAAATCATTTTAAATAAATATAATTTTATACTATTATAATCTTAAATTAATATCAAAATAAGAAATAGTTTAAAACTTGTATTCTATTATAATAAATATCATAAATTTAATTTTTAAAATAAATTAATATTAATTTTATAAAATATATATAAATATTTATTTAATAAATATAATTTTAAAATAGATCTAATAAATTTCTTTTATTTTATAGTTATAGTTTATATAAGTTAAATACAAACTTCAACAAATTGATATCAATAATTTTTTGAGGTGATTTTTCCTTTGTTGCATTTCTAATATGGTGGTGATTTAAATAATAATTTAAACATTAAGAAAATAATTTAAAATTTTCACGTTAGTTCTGCCGTTAAGTTTTTAACGGTTAACTGTGGGATACTAAAATGAAACAAAAACTAAACTTTAGGTATGATTTTGTAAAAATTGAAAATTTAGGTACTAAAACGTACCAAAAATGAAACTTTAGGTACTAAATGCGTAGTTTACCTAATAAAGAAATAAATATCATATGGAATTCAGGTTTATTATACAAATTGATATATGAATTTGTCAATTTTTCTCAAATCAGTTTTTGTGTTGATTAAATATCACATATCATAATTTGATTGGTTGTTAAAATATTATATCATTGTTATGTATAAAAAAATCAAACGTAGGGATCAATATGAGATTTTTAATTTAATTACTTAACTTTCAAATTACTCATAATTTAATCACTCTAACTTTTAAATTTTATTTTTATTCTAATTATATATATTAATAAAATAATGATGAAAACATGAGCAATTTGAAAGTTGAGTAGTTGAATTGAAAATTTTCGAACTTTAGTGATCAAAATAAGAGTTAGAAGATAGTAATGTGATAAATGATGTAATTACCCATAAAAATGTCAAAGCGCAGCTTTGTTGTGCATTTGGTAATATTGGTGCAGTGCTTGAGGTTGGTAACGGAGTGTTTGAAGTGTTTTTCAAGGACCAGCGCATGAATTTGGGTTAGAGCTCAACGGATGCCATGGCAGACCTCAACCGAGAAGTAATGCGGCTTGGCCAGTCAGTCTACAACCGACCCGGCGCCGGTGGTGCCACTGGTGGTGAAAACGGACCTTCATATTCGTCAAACAAGGGGTCTGATGGGGATGTAATCGATGCAGATTTCTCCGACGGTAAGGAAACTAGGTTCCTACAAGTGAACTTAGTAAGGTGATTGATGTATGCTAAAGCTTGAGAGCTTCGGGTTTGAACTGGTTGAAAAACATCCATCGATATAAGGTCCATTACCTCTTTCCGAAAGACATGCATGATAGGATGTGTAGCATCACCGCTTGTAAACCGGATCTCTTTTTTCCTTTCCGATGTGGGAGTAATGTCCCTAACCTTTTCAAGGCGTGACACAAGCACATGCACCACAGAGAAGCACCATAACCGGAGTAAATAATGCCGTCTACTTCTCTATAACAAGCAGCACGGAAGTAAATCCATAATGAATAACCAAGCTTCTTTATTGATTGCAGTTGGTATGATTGTTTGATGAGTATTATAGAACAGAAATGATTTTTTCACTATATCCAAGTGATCAGGGTCGGTCACCTTGCATTCACCAATCTGATGATCAAATGAGATATTCTACCGCGAGAAAAAATGCACTACACCTATGCTTCGGAGAGGTCGACTTTCTCATTCATCGGAGCCATTGCGTCGGGATCTTCTGAATCGGATGGTTTAGATTCATGCTTCGCAGCAGCCTGCAACACTCGGCTTTGAACATCTGACGATGAGGGTGATGTTGGAAGTCCAATGCCATTGGTTTCTAAGTTACCGGAAACCCATGAAAGCGCCTGAGCTCCAAATCTGACAGGAGCTAGCAACAACCTTCAAGAAGCATTTCAGTTGGAAGAACAAACTGTGGTCAAGGTTTCAGTAAAATCCAACTATAATTGGTTAGAAGGATTTTAAATCTTGATCCTTGGTCCATGAGTAAGATAAATATTATGTAAAATTACACATTAAACATTCCTAATAACTTAATCAGCGGCGAACTCATAGATGACAAAAGAAGGAAGACCAAGGACTGACGATGAAAAGACATTTTTCGAGTACCTAGTCCATAAGATCTATTTAGTTCTCATCATTCTGCAGACATGACAACGTCGGAAATACTGCATTGGCAACAGCTACCACAACTATTTTTTGACAACGGTTTTATGTAGGACAACGCTGTTAATAGCCATATAGTTTGGAGTTGGACATGGGATCAGACACAATTACTTCAAGAAAAATCATGAATGCAGCAAAACAATCTTTCGAATATCACAGTATCGGTATTATAAATGTCTTGAAGAAGGGTGTACCTTATGTCTTTTTCCAGATCCTCAGAGCTCTCATATGAAGAGACCCTCCGATAAATGGTCTGGAAAAATTATAAACCGGCGATGAAGAAGTTTTAGAACCACGATTATCAATAAGCTAAAAAGAGCCGCTAAAACATTCTCTTCAATGTAAAATATAGGAGAAAAGATGTTCAGAAAAGAGTACAAAGCAACGGCACATTTTTTTTTTCTTTTTCCTTCAAAACATCATAAGTTTGTTTTAATTTAGAAAAACAAGGAAATGGATATCAAATGCCGAGAATTTGACAAGAGCGTGTAAAACCAGGAGGCTTACGTACCACGACTAGACCAAGAATGCCAATCAGCTGTAATGATTTCTCCCACTCTACAAAGAAGAGGAATTCTGGTAAATATAAAAACGACATAAAGAGTTACGAAGGGCACATGCATGAAAAATACCTGGAAAAATATATTAGAGAGAAGATATATTAAATAGCAATCTCTCTATCTCTCTCTTTCTCCATAATTAACAAATCAAAACTCACAACAAATGAGCATTTCAGAAGTTTTAAGAACTGCAAAATGCATATTGCTAGACTAACTTGTTATAAATCGCAATCAATTATTGCTTCCAGGTTTCAATTTCTTTTAAAGAAAAAAAAACAAAAAGGAATTGATATGATTCAAGGAAGGACAAGATACATACCTAGCAGCGCGTAAATTGCTGCTACAGAACCCTGCCACAAAGATATACATTAGCATTTTATGGGTTTTAACTGATATAATTAACTTGTTACAAGTGAGGATAATGATGACATTGGACCACCTTACGAGATACCAAACATGCTTCGAATATTGCTCAAGCTAGTGTAATAATAGGAATGCCCTTCTTTTAGCTAGTACATGTACTATTAAAACTTATATATCATAAAAGGAACCTGAGTCTTACCACACCATAACCAAGAACCTGCACTGGAGAAGGACTAATTTCTTTTAAGAATGCCTCAGCTTCCTGGGATGAACACAAGGTAAAATTTGTTACATAAATGAAAAAATAAATAAATAAATAAAACAGTCGAAAGCATTTTTTATTCAAACCATTCATGGATGACATATTTGGAAATCCTAGATCAGTAAGGCTTGGAAGTGTCTTATATTAAGGTGGGACATTGTAGCAGTAGCGAATCAGATTTTAAGGATAGATGTTTAACAGGATATGGACATCCTAGCTGTTTGTTTCTCTATTTCTTCATTTCTCCATCACATGGTGGGGATGTGTTAGTTGTAACTGTTCGATGTGGTTCTTTAAACATCAGCTCTAAAATAGCTATATTACTTGGTAGCAGTAACATCCAGTAACATCGAAGATTGAAGACGAAATGCAACAAAACTACCTAAATCAATCACATTAGCGTAACTGCATAAGAAATTGTGATTGTGTTCCATGATAACCAAGTATTTACCGATAAAGTATGTGACTTTATCCCTCTTTTATTCTTGGTCCAATATTTTACGGACATACTTTAGGCAGTTTCGTCACAAATGAATTCAGAGCTACTTGGAGTCCTCTAATTGAACAATAAACAAAGAAGAAAAAGAAATACAATCAATTGAATCATAATCCTATGAGTCAACCTACTGCATTTTCTATATAAAAACTTCCAGGAAAGATAATACGGCATAATAAATACCTCATTGAGTATCGTAAGTGATGTCTCTGGTTTTAGTTCCTTAATTTGGAGACCCTGGTTCACCCATGACTGGAAACCTCCCTGGACCTGGTAGGGTTTCTGTGATATAAAACATTTATTAAACTGAGTCAGAAGGCAACAATGCAATGTTCAGCTACCAAAATGAGATATTAGGATTTACAGATTTAACCATTTAGGTCCTGCATATTTCAGTTTGGTTTTAGCCACAAGTCTTCAAAAACTATAAAAGGCCAAATTAATAAAAAAAAGTTAATTGAATTTGAGCTGAATATGTTCACTCCTTAGATCAAGACTCTCAAATATCTAACTGTGACATTTCAGAGAGGCATAGTAGTATCTCTCACATTCGAGCAGCCAGACACAACATTAAGACATGAATGTCAACTCGTGAAAAGAAAAGAAAAAAATACAACATATGAGTTACAGGTATCGTAACTCGTATTCCCCTCCACCCTCCTAGTTTTGGGCATCTAAAAGCTATTTTCTTAAACTTTGAAAATTCAGACATGCTTACCTTAACCCCAAGTTTTCTCAATGATCTTGCAATTCCCTTGGAACAACTACCATCAGCATCCATAATTATGACCTTCGACCTGCCCTACACGTGGTAGAAAAGAAAATATACATAAATTATGATGTTCTATTCGAGGGCCAATAATAATAGTCACGCTCAGTAGTTAACTTTAGCTACATCAAATAAGAAAAAGACTGGATGTGCATGATCAACTCCCCCTCCCTCTTCCTCCAACCTTTCCAACGAGCCATGGATTTAGTATGACAATAAAACTAAGTTGACAAAGAAGAGCAAAAAGTACGAAAGTTCATAAACATACGAAGCTACAAAATCATATGCTAAATTGTTCTTAGTAGCCTAAATATGAATGCATTCCTGAGTTTGGTTAGTCTGACCTTAAGTTCTTCTTTCGCTCTTTCTGAAAAGCTCTAGCTTAAAAAGCAACTAAAACCAGGGAAGAGGTAAACAATGAAATATAAGAAGATACAAACCTCAATGGTTTTCAAGTTTCTAATAACAACAGCAATCAAGGAATCATCAAGGCCCCTTCCGCTCTTCATTAATTGCCGTATTGAACCATTAACCTGATGAAAACGAAGACCATAAAAGATAAAGCTTCAGGAAAGCAAATAAAGTAAAATTTAAAAGTAAGATGATTATGTTTAACCAGACCTCAGGTAAATATACACTAGCATAACGAGACCGTGCTGCTCTTCGAAGATCGGGAATGCCATCTCTCTCTCTTAAGACCTTGACAGAGTTAATGCCCAAAAATAAGCCACTTCAGATTCAATAGAATAGGAAAAACAAATTTCAACTTCAGAAAAATAATAGATTATTAATCATCTATGAGGGAAAATAGCACCCTAGGAAAAGGAGCACGAGAACACTCTGGAACTAGGTTGGTTAAGTCTCTTTGAATTGAATTTCAAAATACAGAACATAATCCATGCTACAAAACAGATGGCCTGAAACACATTGGAGTGCAGCTCAGGTGGGATTGTGGGGTAGGCTTAGGACTGAGAACCTAAGTTTGAGCTATCGTACTTTCTCATCTTACTCAAATACACAAAAAGGGGGGGGGGGGGGAAGAGCCAAGTGTTTGCGGTATCTTGCCTCAGGCCGCACATCGATAAGTAAAGCCTTCTCCTTTCCGGACAAGAGCTCCAAAGTTAGTTTAGGAGATAAGTCCCCGGAGTAACCACCATATGCCCATACCCAGTAAAACACCCTGCACAGATCTGATACAAAATATAACTCCCCACACGAAAAAGAAAATATTCGGTAAAACTTATAATTAAAATGAGCACATAAGAACATTCATACCATAGAGTGGCTGAGGAGCCAACAAAAAGGAAAAAGGGGACAATGGGATCATTCGGATCAAAACCTACACTCCTTTCCAGCCCCTCAATGCCAATGTAAATCTGCTTACAACAAATTGAATTAAAATAAAAATGAGAAGAAGAAGAAGAAGAAGCTCACAACTGAATAAATAATGGATTTGATGAAAATATAGAATTCTAACAGGTTTTATATGCTTGAACACTAAAACCATGAGCCATGAACTGATATGAACACCAACTAAAAGAATACCTGTTGCAGGGCATCCCCAACAGGCTTTAAGGCTTTTCCTATTTTCTCTTCATACAAAGTTAGTGTGTCTTTGATCTCTGGCGGAAGACGGTCCTTAGCAGAAGCATAATAATACACAAAAGAGGAAGCCCCGTTCGATAAAGAATCCTCCACTCCAACAATTGTACGCCTCAACAAGTCGACAGCAAAAATATTAGCTTTACTTGATGCTTCCTTCAAGTCATTTAACAAGTTTGAAAGCTTGTTGTCAGCTAATACTTGAGCATTATCTACAGCTTCAGAAGCACTTGTCTTAACAGAAGTTATAGAAGAAGTAATTTTCTCCAATAAGCTTTTCACAGCATTCTCTCCCTTGTCTAGCGAAGAGTTAACAGTCTCGTTAACCCCAGACAGAAAATCATCAAGACCAGTTTTCACATTGGATAGTGAATCGTTATCGAAGTTCAGGGAGCTAGATGCTGCAGTGGAAGTCTCGGGTGTTGTGTCAATAGTTGATATGGTTTCCGGTCCCTCCAAACCCATGTAATCGTTGGCATTTTCAACTAACTGGTTTGACGAATCGGCAAGTTTCTCTTCTGCAGCAGATATACTAGAATCTTCAACATATTTCAGTTCGACATCTGCGGGTGACATTATTGCTTCAACCGAAGAACTCCATTCATTAGAAATTTTGCATTTAACATCAACTACCTCATCTGGGCAAGAATAACTGTTAACAAGGTCCATAGATACTGGTTGTTCGGTGATTTCAACAGAATTGGA